TTTGCTGCATCCAAAGTGTTTGCACTGTCATGTTCTCACTTTCATTTGTTTCCATGTATTCTTTTATTTCTTCTTTAATTTCCTGGTTAACCTATTCATTCTTTAGTAGGATGTTCTTTAACCTCCATGTATTTGAGGGCTTTCCAGTAATATATAATGAAACATTATTCAGCAATCTAAAGGAATGACATCGTGCCATTTACAACAATGTGGATGGAACTCGAGTGTATTATGCTAAGCAAAATTAGTCAGAGAAAGACAAGTATCATGATTTCACTCATATGTGGAATTTGAGAAACACAACAGATAAACAGAGGGGAAGGGAAGGAAAAATAAGATAAAAAAGAGAGGGAGGAAAACCACAAGAGACTCTTAACTACAGAGAACGAACTGAGGGTGGCTGGCGGGGAGGCGCGTGGGGGAGGGGCCAGATGGGTGACGGGCACTGAGGAGGGCGAGGCTGGGATGAGCACCGGGTGTGGCACGTAAGTGACGAATCACCGGAGTCTACTCCTGAGACCAATACCGCACTGTGTGTTTACTGACTTGAATTTAAATAAATAATGTAGTCTTAAAAAAAAAAAAAGCCTCCTAGGAATTAACCACGTGTGGAGATTTCACATTAATTAGCTTGACTGCGGTAATCATTTCACTGTGAAAGTCGCAGGCGAAATGTTATGATGTCTGGGGTTCGCTTCAGAGCAGGTCAGGGTGAGGGAGGGACACGGGAGTGGGGAGGTGGTGGGTACCAGTGACCAGGAGTCGTTAACAGTTAAAGCTGCTGGCGGGAAGGTGCGGACCCACTGAACTATTCTACTTACCCGAGTGTCAGATGACAAACAGAATGGACGGTAAAATATACAGAGCTAAGTAAACACAGCAGGAACCCTGTGCAACCGCTTCTCGTTCCCTCCACGCCCCACCCCTCCCATCTGGGTCCCTGTAACAAGCGCATCACCCACCCCTGCACCCCTTGGCCCTCCCCATTTTCCAATCACAAAGAAAGATTGTTCCAAATAAAAATGTGCATCGACACAGTGCTGTCCTTCTGAGCGTTCTACGAACACCTCCCTTCTGTCAGAGCCAGTGCAGAAACTCCTCCACACCCCAGCTGGTGGCTTCTAGACATGGCCTTTGGAGGGCCCCTCTGGGGGGGCCAGAAGCTTTAAGTACTTCACCGGTGAGGGAAGGGAAAGGACAGTCCCTGCCGGGAGTTAGCATCCCTACAATGCTGGAAGAGGAGACATTGGGGAGAGCCCTTCCTGTCAGCCGTGTCTGGTCTTATGTAGGTCCCTACACCTGCTGTGGGTGACCCTGAGCCTCAAGCCCAGGAAGGGACCACAGAAATCCCAGGGCTGTGCAGAAGGTACGGATCTCGAACAGAAAGGCTGCACTTGGGGAAGCTGAGGAGACGTGCTCCAGAGCGTCCCCGCAAACCTTTTTATATAGCTGCAAGAGGCCCTGAAGGGGCAAAACAGAGGGGCCATGGGCTCTTGAGGCCAGACTCGAGGTGCACCCCAAGTCCTAGAGCTGATTCAGATCCAGCAGGACGGGGGGGGGGCACCACCTCACCAGCGCCACGGAGCAGAGCGGGACGCCTCGCTTTGAGACCCACTGGTTGGATGGGCTCTCTTGGGATGGAGAGACTGGATGAGTTAAAGGAAGGCAGACTCTTAGAAGGGCGGCGGGTCGACAATGTTACCCAGGCCCAACGAGAACACCTGGGGAGTTTTAAAAAGGATGCACTGGGGGCGCCTGGGTGGCGCAGTCGGTTAAGCGTCCGACTTCGGCCAGGTCACGATCTCGCGGTCCGTGAGTTCGAGCCCCGCATCCGGCTCTGGGCTGATGGCTCAGAGCCTGGAGCCTGTTTCCGATTCTGAGTCTCCCTCTCTCTCTGCCCCTCTCCCATTCATGCAAAAAGGATGCACTGGGCAGAAATCGTTCAAGTTGAGAACTGTTTCACCCCCCACTTTTTCATTTCATTAGGGGATGGTTTCATGGGTACTTTAATGGACTTTAATGGACTTCCCAACGCAGCAGTGGCCATCAGTGGAGCTGCTGCCCTGTCAGCTCCGGGCGACCAGGGTCCCAAGGCCTGGAAGAGAGCTGCCCAGGGTGGGGGCCAAGTTCACTCTTCTTGGCCCGAAGGGTGTTCATCTGATGCGCTTACCTTGGCGTCTGCGGGTTGGGACACGTTATATGTTAAAATGTTGCCGAGCTGACATGGTTTTCCCCTTCAAGGGAAACAGCTGATGAGTCCCAGCTGCCTCTCAGACTCCATGTTCCTAAAACAAGGTGCGCAATTCTCATCCCCTCATCCCATTAGAAAACCACAAAACTAAAATATACACAGATGCCAATACCATGATTTTCCCAAACTAAAAAAATAAGGATTGAGTTTAGGAAGCTTGGAGCCCTCTCATTTTATGCGTCCCTCCCGTGCCAGTTCAAGTGCAACAGGGTCCACGGAACCCAGATCATGCCTGCGGTCTGTGCTGACCAGCAGGGAGAAGAAAGGACCGCACCGCGTGCAAGGTGACGCCTATGAAGACAGTGGCCGGCTTGCTCCCGTCAGCGTCACAGTGCTGATGACGGACACGGACGAGCTGGCTTCGGCTTGCTCCCACACAGGGATTGCAGCCAGTTTACTCAAAGACTTGGTGCCGATGGTAGAAGGCTAACAGGCAAGCTCGGGGGGCGGGGGGGGGGGGGCGGTGCTCCATTTTCTCCAACAGGCTGTCAGAACTGCAGACCAGCAACCAGTTCTGTGCCAATTCACCAGAACCCCAGGGCCTGGAGGCCCCACACAGGAATCACCAAAGGTGACCAAGGTCCAGAGGGTGTTGAGGAAGAACGGTTAGCAGGAGAGGGCCGGGAAGAGGTTTGACTGCCTGCCAATACTGAGGAGTTGGCAGAAAGACATGAAACTGAAGGAGAAGTTCCGGAACACAGGGACGGCCACCATCTTTTTCAAGGATCAGAAATACGGATGTGAGTGAGGCTCACGTCCGGGACCTACCTGTCCAAGGCAAATCTGGAAACTAGAAATGGAAGCATTCAGCAAACACTTGAAGCTCCTCTAATTAAGGGAATGCACTGATGCGTTCAGGGTCTCTAATCCACAAATCCAAACTGCAGAAAGCTCTGGAAACCGCAAGTCCTTAACTGACAGCAAGACACGTCCCAGTGAGAAACCAGTGTTATTATTTATACGTTCAAGAGTCTCTTCGTGTTGCGCTACAGAAATTGTATCACGTTTGATAACGGGTTCGCCTGGAGCCTGCTACATAGTGTCCAGTCTATGTGCACTTCCCTGTTTTAAAGTCCAAAACATTCCAAAGTCTAAAATGCACCTGGGTCTGGGCTCCAGGTGAGGGAGGATGGGTCTCCATGATATCTAGGGGGTGAGAATTGCACAAATCCACTAATGCATCAGGAGGCCATGAAAGTTGGTGGTAAGGGAGTATGTGACCACTATTTCCCTAATCCCAGCAAGCACCCAGACATAAACACGACCTGAGGAATCCCCTTAAAACATCCCGGAAGCACTCATGAGGGGCTAAGATCAGGGGGCCCGCCCACCTTCAGGGCTCACACACAGTAAGCCGCATGACGCATGACGTTTTCCGCAAGAACGGAACTGCCACTTACCCCGGGGGAGGAGCTGTGAGGTAATCTGGGGTAGCCGGTGTTGAGGTGCCTATTCCTACCCTGGGGAGAGGTCCTCCTGGAGCATTAGGGAAGCATCTTTCAACCATCAGCTAAAATTTTAATAAAAGCTACAGTGAGATCATTGTGTAATTGGAAAAGGCTTTATGTTGAGTTAGTGAAACCAATTATTTATTATCCTTGATGGTGTTTTTTTTTTAGTTTTTTTAGTTTTTTTTAGTTTTCGTTTTCTTTTTTTAATGTTTATTTATTATTTTTTAGTTTTTTTTAATGTTTATTTATCATTGAGAGAGAGAGAGAGCACGAGCAGGGGAAGGGGCAGACACAGAATCTGAAGGAGGCTCCAGGCACAGAGCCCGAGGGGGGGCTCCAACTCACAAACCACGAGATCACGCCCCAGCCGAAGTCGGACGCTCAACCGACTGAGCCACCCAGGCGCCCCAGATGAAGACATTTTCTATAAAAGTGTCTTCTATATAATTTAGAAGATATTTTCTGGAAGTTTCTATCTCAATGTAAATTCCTAACCGGGAATTCTCCAGGTGGATTTTAATCCCCAATGCAGGGTGGGAGGGCGCCTAGCAGAAGGAAGAAGGAAAAAGCCTTAGTCTACTCGGTCCCGCCCTGGCCTGGGGGGGGGGGGGGGCCTCACCGGGAGTCCAGGCACCGGCCTCAGGGAGCTGGAAGGTGAGGCCCTCTGAGGAATGACCCCACACCGCGGGGTAAGAACCCTGAGACCCAACAGAGATCAGCCACCCACGCACAAAGCTGGCGTGAGCAGAGGCACCGCCCCACCCCCACCCCCACCCCGACGCCGGCAGGGTCGAGCGTGGACGCGCGCACGGTGGGCGACCCAGGCCGCCCCCGCAGGGCCTCTGCCAAGGGACCGAGCGGCACCCGCGATCTGAACAGGCAGGCTCAGGGCTCGCTGACCTGACCAGGGGCGAGCCCCTTACCCTTCGGAACCTCCAGCTCTGGCTGGTGTCGCGGGGACTAGCCCCGGCCCGCACGGACCCGCACAACCGAGGCTGCGGGACCGCGGGAACCCCCCAGCGTCTTCCAGGACTCGCGGTGTGGCCGGAACAACCAGCCCCGGGAGAGCGCAGCCCTGCGCCCCAGGCCTGCACCTCCGCCTCTCCGGCCGCCGCCACTGACCCCGGCCCTTCCCCCGCTTCCCAAGCCCCTGCTCGGCATCCCTCGCCCCTCGGCAACCCACAGCGACCCCGCCCCTTCCCCGCCCCGTCCGCCCCCTTTCACGACCCCGCCCCTTTCACGTTCCCGGCCCGCACCCCCGCCCCTCGGGTTGCCCCCACAGACCCCGCCCCGTCCGCGTCCCGGGCTCACATCCCCCGCCCCTCCGGCCGCCCCAGCGACCGACCCCGGCTCTTCCTCCCCCTCCCGCGCCCCGGGCCGGGGTCGCTCTGCAATTTTGAAACAAACGGCTGGAACCCCAAAGCCACACCTGCTCCCAAGTGGACTGGGGGGGGTCCCAAACAGCCGAGCCGAGCGGACGACCTTCACCTCAGCCCCTGGGCGCCCGCAGCGCCCGCCCGAAGCTCACGCGGGCCGGGGCGGCCTTGGGGGGGGGGGGGGCGTTGCCCCGAGGTTCCAGCTTTTCGCAGCCGGTGCGCGGACTTGGGTGACTGGGGTCGGATGGAGTCTTCTCGGACCCGAGGGCAGCGAGGGCGGCCGGAGGGGACGCTGGTCCGGAATGTCCCGACCCCGGGGTTGCGCACGCCCGGCTCCGGGAGCTCCAGGTACGAAAACGTCAGTAAACGTCCCTCCGCAGTTCGTGGGGCACAACGTGGGCGTGAGGGTGATGGAAACACAGGAGTTTCTTGCTACTGAATCGCTTTCTCCTGCCTTTTGTAAACGTCAGCAAAGGGGGTGGGGCTGGAAGCTGCTGCGGGACAACCTCGTTCTGGGGGCGCCTGGGTGGCTCAGGTCGTGATCTCAAGATTCCTGAGCTGAAGCCTTGCATCGGGCTCTGCGCTGACAGCTCGGAGCCTGCTAGGGTTCTCCCTCTCAGAATAAAATAAATATTAGGAAGGAAGGGAGGGAGGAAGGAGGGGAGGGAGGAGGGAAGGGGAGGAGGGGAGGAGAGGGAGGGAGGGAGGGAACTTCGTTTTGGTTCTCTGACCGGATTCCTGAAGAAGCCCTTTAAAAGGGCTGGTATCACAAGCAAGGAAGGCAGGCCCCAGAGGACCAGCCAGGGTGGGCTTTTCTGAACTGGCGATTGTGAATCCAAACCATCCACCACTGTACGCTCTGGTCTGAGCTGTAAAAGCCAGGAGCCCTTTGCTTGGCTTTACTCCCGTATCCCCTGAAATGGTGAGGCCGCGTATCCAGGTGAAAACTGTGTGTTGCGAGGAATGCCTCATGTGGATCTTTGCCGTGAGCTGAAGCCCGGTGAGAGTAACATCCGACGGGTGTAGACATCAGTCCTCACAGGCTCGAGTTTTGCCTGACGCCAGGGGCCACGATCTGGGGCTGGCAAGGGTCAGGGCGCCCTTCCTTTTAGGTTGGGTCTGAAGGGGAGGGGAGGGTGGGTGAGCCCACCCACAACAAGAACCTTGAAGAAGGAGAGAGAATGGGCTGTCTTCCACACTCTCGAGGAAAACAGATATGGAACCAGAGTACAAGACTCTCAGGACTTTACGGTTTTCTAATTCCTCACATTTACAAGTATTAATTCCTTGTTTTCCCATAATAATTAACAGTAAACCCCTTATACCGGAGGATCTTGGGAGGAGGAGGGACCTGTTTCGTTTGTCAGGAGCTAAATCCCCAGAGGGGGTGGGGGTGGGGGTGTCGGCAGCCTGTGCGGGAGGTGGTCCAGCCCCAGGCCCCCAGGACAGCAGCTGAGAAACAGTGAGTTACCATATCCAGAAAAATCCACAAGAAACTGGCATCTGTGGTCTGGATGCCATTTTAACAGGCCGTGAACAGGGGGAAAGGGGTTTATGGATGCAAAACGAACAAGCCTTTTTTAAAATTAAAAAAAAACAAAAACAAAAAGTTTTATTGGAGCCCAGGTGAGGACAGCTCCCGGGGACACACAATCTCCACAGAGAAGCCAGTGAGTGCTCCGGGGAAGGAACGTTTGCTGCAGGGTCATACGTGTATTTTACATAAAGAGTTCCAAAGCATCAGGAAGAAGGACATTCTGGAAAGTTACAGACAGGTTTTTACTATGTGCACTATGTGAGGGGCTGTGTGATTTTAATCTCACGGGAACCAAGGAGGTTTTTTTCCTCTTATTTATGTCGGATGCTATTTTGATAACGAAGCACGAGTGCAGTGTGTGCCCAGGGCAGAAATACAGCCACAAATCTGAGGTTTTGCCAAGTCTTTCTGACCTTGGTAAATGTTACAGTGTAGCTTCTCTGGGAGCCCAGGAGCAGGTCCCACAAATAGGAAAACTTGGAAACTTCCCTGATCAGGTCTGAGGTGGGAGTGCCACGGGCAGGGCTGCAGGATCTCAAGGCCCCCTCATGCTTTGAACCAGCCCTGGGAGGCCTCTGCTCCCTTACCTGGACCTGTGTGGGCATCTGTGCCTTCCTCCTCAAACCCCTCCTCCTGATCCTGTATTTCTGTCCCTATTCTTACCCCTTGTCCCAGGTAATTGCCCCTCATTCATTGACGTAAATACACCTGTGCCCCCTCCCTTTCAAGGCAGCGGACAACTTTAAAAGGACCTGTGATTTTTTTTTTTTTTTTTTTTTTTTTGTCTTTGAGAGAGAGAGCACACAGGTAGGGGAGGGGAAGAGAGAGAGGGAGACCCAGAATCCGAAGCAGGCTCCAGTCTCTGCGCTGTCAGCATAGAGCCCGACCCGGGGCTTGAACCCATGAACCGGGAGATCATGACCTGAGCCGAAGTTGGACACTTAACTGACTGAGCCACCCAGGCGCCCAAGGACCTGTGATTTCTCATCTAACACCTAGACTTTCCTTCCTAGACATGAGAGTAAGCTACAAAGCTAGACTTCTGTCCTTCGAGGGGGTCCGGGTCCTTGGAGGAGCCAGCGACTGTACCACACGGGACACTGGAAGACTTGGCCAAGGGAAGTCACCCACAGAGCAGGGACTCTCCACGCCAGCCTCTCACTCGAGCCACTAGGACCTTTGCCCAGGCAGGACCTGGCCCCACGCTGCAGATGCACTGGTGTGGGAGGGGCCCGGGACAGGGGTCTTCGGCAAGCACCCTGGAGGCTTGGGTGTGCGGCTGAGGTTGAAAGTCGCTGTTGGCCGTGGCCTCCCTTCTTGTGGGCGCGTCCAGAGGACAGCGAAGCTCCCCTCCTCTCCCTCGAGGTGCCCTCGTGGTTTGCACAGCGTGCTTCCGGAGCTGGCAGCGTGGGCACCACCGGGGCAACGGAAAGGCAGCCGCGCAGCTCGCGGCCGCTGAATCGGGAAGGCCGGGGCGGGCCAGGGTCTGGTTTAGAAGCCCCCCCCGGAGACGTGCACTGAAGCTGGACAACCTGCCCTGCCCCAACAAAGTCACGGGTGGCGAGACAGGCGAGTCCGTCGGATTGCACTGAGCAAAGCGAGCGCCCGCAGCCTCACACCCAAAGGCAGCTGTAGGAAGTCAGCATGCGGACGAGCTCGTTAGCCTGCTCACGAGGCTGGTGTGAGGGTTTCGCTGGGTCAGTGCTTCCCAGCCTCCTCGTGCGGGACGTGCGCGTGAGGCATCTGTGGGGCCTGGAAGACCCCGAGGTGTGGACTCGCCCTGGGAATGGGGCTCTAGCTCCCGCGCTTCTGCTGGGCCACCCTGTGAGCAGCGAGGGTCTAGGGAAACTACTTTCTCTGAAACGTGCCCGTGCGTTGTCTTTTTGGAGGCACCGGCTCTGACCTGGGCGCCCGGCGAGCTCACCTCTGCCTGGGCCTCAGTTTCCGTGTTCGTAAGACGAGCACTGGTCTTGCAAGCCCGCACCCCGGCATGGCGAGTGGCCTGGGGCTCGCCGGCCAGGGCGCCTTTCTGCCTCCCCCCGCCATCCCCCCGCACCCTTTTGTCTTTTCCCCGATTTTCTCTAGTGTCCCCACTACCCCAGACACACTGAGCCTGTCACATACTGCAGGGGACCTCCAAGAAAACACGAGGGCGATGACCTCTTTCGGCAACCAGAAAATTGCCAGAATGTAGTAACCGGCTGGCCTGTGGGCTAAGTGCATATCGGATGCAAGGTTGCACAGTTCCGGCCACGGCCTGGGCTCGTCCCCTTGCCGGGAGCCCTCGCCCCATCCCAGTGGGGCTGGCCCGGTGGCCAAGCTCTCTCTACCCTGGCAGGAGGCGGGTGTGGGAGCCGCGGCCTCTCGCGCTGAGGGGCTCCCCTGCCCACAAATAAGGGGTGCAGCAGAGAAGCGCGGCTGCAGGCTGACTCTGGCTCTGTGATGGGTTACGTCGCCTCTGCCTCCCAGGATTAAATGAATACAAAGTGCTTCCAGTCAAGCCAGAGGGACACACGGAGCGTTAGACTTTGTCGTTGCCAATCCTCTGGCGCCATAGGCTCATCTTTGCTCTTCAAGATGGCAGGTGGTTGCCCAAGTGACTCATTAGCACTGAGGTGTTAATGGCGAATAATGGGCTGGCCCACACCCCTTCCCGGCCACAATTCCATTTCAGTTGGGGAATCAGGATGCTTTTAAGGGCAATTAACAGGACTAAGTGAATTTGTTTTAACAGCACAGATACTTCTCATTTCGCCCAAGAGGAGGACAGAGACAGGACAGTGAAGGAAGTTCATTCGCGGCTCAGACAAACCCAGGCCATGGTTTCCTATGCGGTCACGTCTGCCCGGCACATCTCCGATCAAGTGTCCAGAGGCAGGCAGAGGGGCCTCTCCTCTTGCCCCCTCGCCTCTCACTGGCCAAGTGCCCATTGCTGGCGAGGACGGGGCCACCTCGATGCCTTGGCTTTGAGGAGGTCCACGTGTTGCCTCAGCCGGATTTTGGCTGCCTGGGCAGAAGGTAGGGGACCCCATCGTCACCTTGCTGTAATGCCTCAACCCCAAGGAAGGCATCGGGACCAGTGGAGCCTCAGTTGAGCTGGAGGACGATCCCAGAGCCGCTCGGAACCTCCGCATCTTCCTCTGTACCACGGGCTGCCGGCACCCGCGGGCGGCTGTGAGGGGTACGCGGCTGTGTCCACACAAGGCACGGGTTGCACCATTCGAACCTTCAGTCAGCGTGTGGTGAATGTCAACTATCACGATTAGCATTACCTCCTTTTCCCCCAAAGTCCTTCCTCTGGTGAAGCTACTCAATGTGAACGTTTAAACGTTTAACAATGTTTTTGATACAATGTGCTGCTTCAGACCCTAAGGATCTCAGGTAAGGGTTTGCAGACCTGTGTATGTTTTTCACAAGTATTACAAATGTAAATGAGATAAAACTTTACCTTTTTCTGGAATCTTTGAGCGATATTTGTACTTTTTTTCCCATTTCATTTTCTTCTGATTTTTTAATCGTGGTAAAATACACACAACAGAAACCTCACTGTCTAAACCATGGAAACGTACATTTCAGTGTAATGGACTGACGTGCAGCTGTGACTACCATCCATCCGCCCCTGTAATCGCTTCCGTCTTGGAAAACTGAACCTCTCTGCCCACTGACACTAGCTCCCGGCTCCCCCAGCCCCTGGCACCACCACAGGTATGACGGCGACTGCTCTAAACACCCAGTGTAAGTGGAATTCTCTAGGATATGTGTTTTTGTGACTGGCTTATTTCACTTAACATGGCCGTATCCTTGCCAATACTTGGATTTATTTTTTAATTAAAAAAAAATAACTGTATTTTATCACATTTAGCAGAAACTATGGTTCCAAATGACCTGGTGCCATTTTAAAAAGTTTTTTTATTACATTTATTTATTTTTGAGAGACAGAGTGAGACAGAGCACGAGCAGGGGAGAGGCAGAGAGAGGAGACACAGAATCAGAAGCAGGCTCCAGACTCTGAGCTGTCAGCACAGAGCCCGACGCAGGGCTCGAACCCACGAACCGTGAGATCATGTCCTGAGCCGAAGTTGGTCACTTAACCGACTGAGCCACCCAGGCGCCCAGACCTGACACCACTTTTTCTAACATGTATGAGTTTTCTATTGTATGGGTGCAGTTTTTTGTTTGTTTTTTGTTTTGAGTAAACTGTACCTCCAATGTGGAGCTAGAACTCACGACCCCAAGACCAAAAGTCACTCGCTCATCAATAAAACCATCAGGGACAGGGCTTTTCTCTGTAGAGATTTTTGGTTACTGATTCAATCTTATTCAAGTCTACTCAGATTTTCTAATTTTTTGTAACTTAGTCTTAACAGGTTTGTGTCTCTAGGAATTTGTCCATTTCATCTAGGTCATCCAATTTATTGGTGTACAAATGCTCATAGTGAAAGGGCGGGCCTACGCCGGCCGACTCCATCTTGTTCTGTGTTCTCCACCTTGAGCGACTGTCCCCGACATGACCCCTTTTCCGGGAAAATCGCAGAAACCTCAGATCGCGCCTCCTCCCCTTGAGTAACCTCCCGCTCACCCGTTCAAACTTCCTGATCAAAACACGCCCAGTGACCTGCGTAACAGGACTCTGACCCTTCCCCAGCCAATCGGCTGCCCCTAGACCCCTATAAAACCTTTGTGCTTTTGAAACTCGCTCTCTCTCCCCGGTATCTCACTGCTGCGTCGGTGCAGGTAGGGGACTGAACTCGAGCTAGCTCGAATAAAGACTCTTTTGCTTTTGCATCGGACTTGGCTCCCTGGTGGTCTTTGGGGATCACGAATTCTGGGCATAACATTTGGGGGCTCGGCCCGGGATCCCCAAGACCCCCGAGGGACCCCCGACCCGGAGAGCCTGACTGGCCACGGTTAGTGTCTGTCTGTTTGTTCTGTCTTTTCTGTGTGAGCTCATTTCTGGAATTCTGGTAGTGCCCGACGCGGTCTAAGTGGACGCACTGGAGGACCACGGGCCGGGAGTTTCGGAAGACGTTCCGATTCTCCCTTCTGGAGGGACGTGGAATCCCCTCATCTGTTTCGGAGGGACGTGGAATCCCCTCAAAGGTCTGAGACGAGGCGGGTCGCTCCCACTGGTCGGCGTGAGGCCGTCGTCTAGCTTTCGGTTTCGGAAGGACGTGGAATCCCCTCATCGGTTTTGGAGGGACGTGGAATCCCCTCAAAAGCTAGCTTTCAGTTTTGCTTCCATGGAGTTGCAAGACTTTCTAGGGGCCCTCTGTTTGTCTGTTTTTGTGTTTCTCTGTTTTGCTCTGTGGACTTACTGGACGGACGTTATGGGACAGACTCAGACTACGCCTCTACCCACCCTCTTGGCTTAAGCCCTTCCTAGCCCCACTCCCTCCGGAACCAAAGCCCATTCCTGCTTTGCAGGGGACAAAGAAGAAGAAAAGTCTTATCCAGCCTTCAGCACCCCTCTACCCTGTCTTACAGAAGAATTAATTTTTCCTCCCCCGTGTAACCCCTCTAGGATGCCGGAAGAACACCATCCTCCCCCTCTGGGGGAGGCAGACACTGTTCTGAGAGCGGGAGGCGGAAACGCTCCAGTGGGAAGCCGGCCCTTTACCAGACAAAGGGCTCAGAGGGAGCAATCCGCCTCCGCTGCCGACTCCACTCTTCTGCCCCTGCGAGCCGCCGGACCCCCAGACGCGGAGGGGAATCAGCCCCATCACTATTGGCCTTTCGCCACTAGTGACCTCTACGATTGGAAAGCTCAGAATCCTAAGTTTTCCGAGAAACCGGCAGGGCTTATTGATTTATTAGGCTCTGTTCTTTTTACCCATCAGCCCACGTGGGACGATTGCCAGCAGCTTTTGCAGGTCCTGTTCACGACCGAAGAAAGAGAAAGAATCCTCAATGAGGCCTGAAAACTAGTTCTGGGAGCAGACGGGAATCCCACCACCAACCAGGCTCAGATAGATGCCTCCTTCCCCTTAACTCGGCCCCAGTGGGATTTCAACACGGCAGAAGGTAAGGAGAGGCTCCGGGTCTACCGCCAGACTCTAATGGGGGGGGGTGTCTCCGAATGGCTGCTAGAAAGCCAACCAATTTGGCCAAGGTAGGAAATGTACAACAGGGAAAAGATGAATCTCCGGCTGCCTTTTTAGAACGGATCATGGAGGCATTCCGTACCTATACCCCCATGGATCCAGAGGCTCCGGAAAGCAAGGCAGCTGTTATCATGGCCTTTGTAAACCAATCAGCCAAAGACATTAGGAGAAAATTACAGAAAATAGACCAGGAGAAAAAAGTCTGCAGGACTTACTGGTGGTAGCCGAAAAGGTATATAATAACCAGGAGCCTCCTGAGGACAAGCAGGCTTGCGTCATGGCGGCTGCCAGCAGTAAGCAGACTCGAGACCTGGCCAGAATACTACTAGCTACCACTGCTGACTTCCCCGAGGAACGAGACCGCCGCCTCCGGCAGCTGGCAGACGACACAAGAAAAGGTAAAGGAACCACCAAGGGGGGGAAGCAGAGGCTGCAGAAGGATCAGTGCGCATACTGCAAGGAGATAGGGCATTGGGCCCGAGATTGTCCAAAAAGGGCCGGCGGGAAGGGAAGCAAGACTGATCGAGTAAAAGTCCTAGAGCTAGATGAACTAAGTGATTAGGGGAGTCGGGGTTTGGACCCTCTCCCCGAACCCAGGGTAACTCTTAAAGTGGAGGGGACCCCTATTGACTTCCTTGTTGACACCGGAGCACAACATTCGGTCCTCCGCACCCCACAAGGAAAACTAGCCAACAAGAAGTCCTGGGTGCAAGGCGCAACTGGTATGAGCCAGTATTCATGGACTACCCGAAGAACAGTAGATTTGGGAACGGGCCAGGTATCCCACTGCTTTATGGTAATACCAGAATGCCCCTACCCGCTGTTAGGACGGGATTTACTGACCAAGATTGGAGCTCAGATAACTTTCAGACAAGGGGGGGCCTCAGGTCACCGATGGCAAGGGCCACCCCATCCAGGTACTGACCATGAAACTGGAGGATGAATACCTCCTCCACCAGGAGGCGCTCCCGAGAGAGGATAATATAGACAGATGGCTACAAGAATTCCCCTCAGTTTGGGCAGAGACGGGGGGGATGGGACTATCCGCTCACAGGACCCCAGTCCTGGTAGAGCTCAAGCCAGGAGAGAGTCCGGTAAGGATCAAACAATACCCCATGTCTCAGGAGGCCCGGAAGGGGATCCAGCCACACATCCGGAGACTACGAAGCCTAGGGGTACTAGTTCCTTGCCAGTCTGCCTGGAACACCCCCCCTACTGCCGGTGAAAAAGCCTCACACAAATGACTATCGACCGGTACAAGACCTCCGGGAAGTAAATAAAAGGGTCGCGGACATACACCCAACTGTTCCCAACCCATATACTCTCTTGAGCTCCTTGGCACCCTCCAGGGTCTGGTATACTGTACTAGATTTAAAGGACGCCTTCTTCAGTCTGCCGCTGGCACCCCAGAGCCAACCCTTGTTCGCCTTTGAGTGGCATGATCCGGAGAAGGGCTACAGTGGGCAACTCACCTGGACACGGCTACCTCAGGGATTCAAAAATTCACCCACCATCTTCGACGAGGCACTACGCGAGGACCTGGGTGAGTACAGAAGGGAGCACCCTGGCCTCACCCTCCTATAGTACGTAGATGACATCCTGATTGCTGCCGACACAGCCAAAGACTGTGAGCGAGGGACCCAGGACCTGCTGGCTACCTGGGGGCCTTAGGGTACTGGGCATCCGCGAAGAAGGCTCAGATATGCAGGGAGAGGGTAAGTTACCTGGGATATATCCTGGAGGGCGGACAGCGGCGGTTATCAGATGCCAGAAAAGAAACTGTCCTAAAGATCCCTACTCCCACCTCCTGAAGAGAAGTGAGGGAATTCCTAGGATCAGCCGGCTACTGCCGCCTCTGGGTTCCAGGTTTTGCTGAGATCGCCAGGCCCCTATATGAAGCTACCAAAGAGGGGAAAACATTTAAATGGACTGAAAAAGAAGAAATTGCCTTTAATCAGTTAAAAAAGGCCCTCTTAAGTGCCCCAGCCCTGGGCCTACCAGACATTACGAAACCCTTCCACCTCTTTGTAGACGAACATAAGGGAATAGCAAAAGGGGTTCTAACTCAAGCCTTAGGCCCCTGGAACCGCCCAGTGGCTTACCTGTCTAAGAAACTAGACCCAGTGGCTGCCGGCTGGCCGCCATGCCTAAGAATTATTGCGGCGACAGCACTCCTAGTCAAGGATGCAGACAAACTGACCCTAGGACAGGAGATCTGGATCACGACCCCACACGCCGTTGAAGGGGTCCTGAAACAGCCTCCGGATAGACGGATGAGCAATACACGTATGACTCATTACCAGAGCCTCCTACTCAACCCTCCACGAGTGCGGTTCCACCCCAGTGTGGCCCTCAATCCTGCAACCCTGCTGCCCGACCCTGACCTAGGTGCTCCACTACATGACTGCGGGAATCCTGGAACAAGTACATGGATTCCGGACGGACCTGACCGACCGGCCCCTCCCCGATGCTGAGGCTACTTGGTTCACTGATGGCAGCAGCTTTGTGCAAGACGGACACAGGTATACGGGTGCAGCGGTGGTCACCGAAACGGACACCGTATGGGCGGAGGCTCTACCCTCCGGAACGTCAGCCCAGTGAGCAGAGCTCATAGCCCTCACCAAGGCGCTGATGCTGGGAGCTGGAAAACGGCTTAACATCTACACAGACAGCCGTTATGCATTTGCCACAGCTCATATTCATGGGGCAATTTATCAGGAGAGGGGGTTACTGACGGCAGAAGGATGGACTATAAAAAATAAGCAGGAGATATTTAACCAGCTTACGGCCTTATGGCTTCCTGCCAAGCTAGCCATTATCCACTGCCAAGGGCACCAAAAAGCTGATAACCCAGTAGCTAGAGGTAATCGAAAGGCTGACCAGGCAGCCAAGGCAGTAGCCCTTACTCCAGTCCCCACCATGACCATACAACTACCGGACCCGGGAGACCCAGTTTTACCAGACCAGCCCAAGTACTCCCAGGAGGAGTTACAGCGGATCAAGAAACTCCCCATGGCCCAGGAGATAAAGGGATGGTGGTATACACCTAACAAGGAGCTCGTGCTGCCAGACCAGCTTGGAGTCTCAATATTAGAGCACATGCATCGGTCTACTCACATGGGGGCCCGAAAATTAAAAGACTTAATCCGACATGCCGGAATCAAGATTCACCAACAGGACACCAAAATAGAGCAAGTTGTATCTGCCTGCAAGACCTGCCAACTCACCAACGCGAGAGCCACATCAAATAAAAAAGGAACCAGGCTCAGAGGCACCAGACCGGGAGCCCAATGGGAAGTCGACTTCACTGAAGTCAAACCAGGAAAGTATGGTTATAAATATCTTTTAGTATTTACAGACACCTTCTCTGGCTGGGTGGAGGCATACCCAACCAAGCATGAAACAGCTCAGAGGGTGGCTAAGAAGCTACTAGAAGACATCTTACCCAGGTATGGTTTTCCTGCCATGGTAGGATCAGACAATGGACCAGCTTTTATCTCGCAGGTAACACAGGCAGTAGCCAAGGCGGTGGGGGCAAACTGGAAATTACATTGTGCTTATAGGCCCCAGAGCTCAGGACAGGTAGAAAGAATGAATAGAACCCTAAAAGAGACCCTTACCAAATTAACCATGGAGACTGGTGGGGACTGGGTGACTCTCCTACCATACGCCCTTTACTGGGTTAGAAACACTCCTTACACTCTGGGTTTTACTCCCTACGAGATCATGTTTGGTAGGCCACCCCCTGTTATTCCCAGCCTTCGAGCTGAACTTATTGCTGAGTTTAAAGATCAAGAACTTTTTCTTTCCTTGAGAGGGCTCCAGAGGGCACATGAGGACATTTGGCCGCGCCTCCGTGCCATCTACGAGGCTGGCCCGACCCCGACACCTCATCAGTACAGGCCGGGAGACTGGGTCTATGTCAAGAGGCACCACCGAGAGACCCTTGAGCCACGCTGGAAGGGACCCTACATCGTGGTGCTGACAACCCCCACCGCTGTCAAAGTAGACGGCATCACGACCTGGGTCCATCACACCCACGTTTGGCCAGCGGACCCCTCCTCGATCCGGAAGGACTTCGTCACTCGGGCCATCAGTCGGGACCAACACAACCCGCTCAAGCTCAAGCTACAGCGCATTCGACCCACCTAATATTGGTAACTCTGTTAACTCTGCTTGTCGTTGCTCATGCTGCCGGGAGTCCCCACACCCCCCAAAACATCACCTGGCAGATCATAGACACCAGCTCGGGGACAATACTTAATCAGACCTCCCAGAGCCACCCCAGGGACACATGCTTCCCAGAACTTAGCGTAAACATCCAAACTCTGTTCCCCTTGTCACCATAAATGCAGCCGGTCCCATGATTGGGTCCGTAAGCTACATGACAAGGGGGGAATGAAAGGGCGGGCCTACCCCGGCCAACTCCATCTTGTTCTGTGTTCTCCACCTTGAGCGACTGTCCCCGACATGACCCCTTTTCCGGGAAAATCGCAGAAACCTCAGATCGCGCCTCCTCCCCTTGAGTAACCTCCCGCTCACCCGTTCAAACTTCCTGATCAAAACACGC